CTCCAGAATCCGTTCATCCCCTCCAAACCACCCTTATCATCGTCCCCTCGTTCTCTGTTCATCGGTGCAACGCGAAAACTAAAAACGACGCATTTCTCCGGATGTCGCGCGTAAACTGGCTGCAGAGAACTCGAAATTTCTTCAATTCCCTTTGAAATCAAAATTAACAAAGCTACTTCCAATATTCCACACAATAATTCAACTTAATTCTGATAATTCCAGTACCGATTTTCCACTCCAAACACCCCAAAGATACTTCCAAATACTCGAGCACTCCCGAAATCCTGCTATCCATCTCTCCAGAATCCGTTCATCCCATCCAAGCTACCCTTATCATCGTCCCCTCGTTCTCCCGTTCACCGGTGCAACGCGAGTACTAAAAAGGACGCGTTTTTGCCGCGTGTCGCGCGCAAACTGGCCGCAGAGAGCGGTGTTTATCGGTGTTTCGCGAAGGTAGCGCGGGGTCCGTGATGTCCATCACGCTGGCGTGCGGGAACGCCGGCGCGGCCCGTCGTTTATACGCGGTGCCGGCATAATGGAACAGAGTGGAGCGGAGCACGGATAATGGAGTATGAAGAATAGCGTGCGGTGAATGTCGGGGGATAGTCTCCTACGCGTCCCACCCGCTCCAACCCTCCCGCGTCCCCGTCCCTCGTGCAGCCGCGATTTTCTCTCGCTCATCCCGCCGCCATCAGCCATTCTTCTTCCCGCTCTGCGGTGTCTCTCCGAGGGTCGGAGAAAGAGAGGAGGGTCCGGCGAGGACTCGTTTGCGCGCGTGCGAGGGATACGGCTCGTTGGCTCGACCAGTTGCCCATACCGATTTATTGTTCTGCAGTCGAGCCGCATTACCAATTGCCGGTAAATCCAGAGCGGCGTCGCGCTGCCCGCGGCCGCGATTCCTCTTCGCCTTCCGTTTTCTTCGAGACGCCGCGTCTCGTATATCATAGCGGCAGGACAATGGGAATCGCGATTGGAAGCGGGAGATTGGTGTTGTATATCTCTCAGACAATGTACTCGGGATTCTTTGTTTGGGAATCGGATAGTTTGAAAGATGATTGTTCAGTTCGAGGAATCGAGTGTTTTTTTGGATAGAGTTTGTCCTTATATTTTAGATGCTCGAAGGTTCGTTAACAGTAAAATTATTAGACTGATTGATTTGTATTTAAATTCTCTGCTTTTTAGAAAGGTTGTCGAGTTTATGAATTTGTACAGATACAATAACAGATCCATCCAATCTAAGTATCTCTAATCTATAGAACCTTCACTTCAATTGCTCAGTAGTGTTAAGTGACAGATGAATCCGACGTAAATATTTTCTACAATATTCTACAACTACCGTAAACAAATAAACGTAACGTATCTCTACCCCAGTGTCAAAGTAGTACAGCTTCATAGCGCTGCTCGCTTCACAAAGACAGCAGTCTACCTGAATTCAACTATCCTCGACGCAGACACCGCTCTAGACGAGCCTCAAAGCCGCGCGGGAGCCAAAAAACGGAGGCCAGAAGTCAAAGCGGAAAGCCTACTCGAAAGCAGAAGCCCTCTTCACCGAATTCCGCGCGGTGATCGCGAGAACGGCCTCCGAGTGTCTGGCCAGACGCGATCGAGGGGTGGAAAAACGCGAGCGAAAAATGCCCCAGAGCCCCACATACCGCGGCGGATCGAACGCAACACGCGGAACGCGGCTACACTCGTTTCCCTCCCCGTGCACCTTTTCCACGCATCGAGCGCACGTGGCGTTCGCCGTAAACGCTCGTCCGAGCTTGGCCGCGCTACGGCAGGGTTGAAGGGTGGCCTCGGCGAGGGTGGTGGACGAACGGTTGCGCGCCGGAGAGAGAGGAAGGGGGGGTTAGAGAGTTGGTCGTTACACGCACCGGTCACTGGCCACCCCCGTGGCTATCGCCGGCACAACCCCCCATGCAAAATCACCCTTTGTCCCGGGCCTCGATGGGAAATTACTTTTTGTCCGTCGATTACGGGGTGAATTTTCGGACAACGAGACCCGATCATTTCCAACGAGATACGGCTCCGGTTCGAGATATTCGACGGGGAAGGGACCGGCTTCGTTACCGCCGCCGCTTTACGAATAAATCGCGCGACGGGCCAAATAACGGTAACTCGATAATGCCAGGCTTTCGGGTGCCTAATTTTTTGGTCGCGTGAGCTTTCCCGTCAGTGAGTTTTGTTATGGATTTTTGGGAGAGGTGGACGTTAAAAACGGATTGTAGGAGTTTGTTGGGATGCTTGGAAATTGTAGTTTGATCTCTTGGGTATTGGCGTCTAGAGACTTTTTAAACATTTAGCGTTTATAGTCGGTGAAGCGTTATTGACAGTAATTGCAGTAGCTTCATTGGATTTGACGTAAGTGAATTTTGATTCGACAGTTACAGCTTTGGTTGGTTTATTATACAGACGTGATGGCTTTAGATTGGTTTAAGTTCAACTCAGTGTTTCGAGGGTTTCAAAATTAACAAAATTACTTGGAATATTCCAAACAATAATTCAACATCCCTCAATTCTAATAATTCCAGTACCGATTCTCCACTCCAAACACCCCAAAGATATTTTACTGTCCTAAAGTAAAATAAATCAACCGTTTGTACTCTGTAGACTCCAAGATTACACCTAAGATTATTAGATTTTCCACATATCCAAATTTTGTAAAGAAAAATAAAAGATCTCAGAAGTGTTACAACATTCTTCACTTTCGTTAAGGGTACCATCGAAATTGGTTGCACTTGATAATAAATTAACGAACCATCTTGACTGCTAAGTGGTAGACATCAATATCAGAAATATACATACTTCCTGAAGAATAACAGCTCTGCCTTAACCTGTTAACTGAGAAACCTCTCATTCTGCGTGCAATAAAATCAAAAGATGGAGTCTGTACTCGTTGAACGCAGGACAAATGCACCTAGAGTATATTTTAATGA